TGTGCCGGTAGGCGGCAGTGGTGGGGAGGGGGCCTGGGGGGGTGGCCGAGCTGCTGTCCTTGTCACCAGTCGCCGTCCCCTCCTCGCCGAGCGATGTGAGCCAGCTGAGGGTGGTGGGGATGCTGGTTTTGGGGGGTGCCCCTGTGCCAGGCGCTGCTGGGGTTGCAGAGCCCAGCAGTGGGTCGGGATCTGGGGAATCAGTTCCATCCCAGGGCTCAGCTGTGGTGGGCACCACGAGTGCCTGGCCCAGGCTGGTGTTGGTGCCAGGAGCCGGGGGTGGCACAGAGCTCAGCAGCAGGTCGGGATCCGGGGAATCAGTCTCGTCCTGGGGACCCGCTGTGTTTGGCACTGCCAGTGCCTGGTGCAGGCTGGCTTGGGTGGGGGCTGCTGGTGATGAAAAGCTCAGCAGCAGGTCAGGATCCGGGGAATCAGTCTCATCTTGGGGACCCTCTGTGTTAGGCACTGCCTGGTGCAGGCTGGTGTTGGTGGGGGCTGGTGGTGATGAAGGGCTCAGCAGCAGGTCGGGATCCGGGGAATCAGTCTCATCCCAGGGAGCATCTCTAGTTGGCACCACGAGTGCCCGGGGCAGGCTGGTGTTGGTGCCAGGAGGTGGTGCAGATCCCAGCAACGGGTCGGGCTCAGGGGAATCATCAAAGCTGCTGGGCATCGTGGTGGCAGCGGTGACCCCGGGCTGCTGCCCCCTGCCATCCCTCCTCCTGCGGGACAGGGCGGGGGGCTCAGCCCGTGCCTGCTCTGCCGCCCCCCAGACCCACAGCTCCCTGAGGTGCTGCCCTGGCTCCTGGGGTGGCACAGCCCAGCACATCTGCAGGGCGCTCAGCACCAGCACCAGCATCTCCAGCACGGCCATGGGACCTGTGGGGGGGGGGACAGAGGGGGCAGGTGACATTGGGGTCCCGAGAGGATGCTCAGCTCCACTGTTGTGGCTGGAACTGGCCCCAGGGAGGGGTTGCACTTGAGCCAAGCATCCTCCTTCCTCCCAGAGAGGGGGGTGAGGGCTGAAGGACGCGACCACCGAGCTCCCCCAGCCGGGGCAGCAGGGCTGAGCTGCCTCCACGTGCGGGAACTCGGCCCCGCCTGGGAGGGCAGTTCTGAAAAGGAAGTTGGTGTCTGGAAATGGGGAAGGGGCCACGCTGGAGACGGCTGCTGCGGGATGGGCGGTTGCAGGATGAGTCCCTGGGCAGAAATGAAACCACAGGGACGTCGCAGACTCTTCCATCAACC